GACCAATTCCTAGAAAAACACAAACTACCTCAACACATCTAATGTGAAATAAATAATTTTAATTTCTCAAGGAAATTGAACTTGTAATTTTAAAATTCTCGAAAAAGAAATATCTGGGCCCACATGGTTTCACTGGAGAATTCTAACAAATATTTAAAAAAGAATTAACACCAATTCTATGCAATCTCTTCCTGAAAATAAAACTCTCTGCATATAAGGAATAGAGAGGAGCTTCCTTAACTTGATAAGAAGCAGCTACAAAAAACCTACAGCTAATATTATACTTACTGGTGAAAGATTGAATGCTTTCCCCCTAAGAATGAGAACAAGGCAAGGACGTCCTTTCTCATACTCTTATTAACATAATGCTGGAAGATCTAGTAAATGCAATAAGGCAACACAAAGAAATAAGAGGCATACAGGTTTGGAAAGGAAGAAACAAAACTGTCCCTATTTGCAGATGACATGATTATCTACGTAGAAAATCCCAAGGAATTTACAAAAGAAAAAGAAAAAAAAGTCTTCTAGCACAATTGCTCTCTATTCACCGGAGCAACATAGGAAGAAAGAGAGTCAGAAATAGAAGGAAGATATGGAAGGTGTGGATAATTGCCTCCGTGAACAATTGTTTCCTTTGCCATGAGACCAGAAAAAATGGATGGTGCCCAGCTACCTTTACTGAACATTTTGATCAGAGATTCTACTGAAGAATCTCTGATCAAAAAGGGGAAAATGCAGAACAGAATTTCAAATTCTCATGGACTCCAGACTTCCTGGAGCCATGATGATTGGAGAAACCCTTGAAACTATTGCCCTGAGATAATCTTTAAACTTTAAAACAAAAATATCCCCTGAAGTCATCTTAAAACCAAACAATAGTTTAGCTTAACAATAAATTTAGTGACAAAGTCTGCCTTGAGCATTATGCTCTTTTAAGAACTATCTATATGAGATCAAATTGACAACAGCAACTCTAAAGATTAGATAGGAACCTTAAGGGGCAGTGAGTTTATGTTAAGGGAGAAGGAAAAACTCAGAAAAGGAGGGTGAGAAAGGTTACACAACTCAAAGAATGTAATCAGTGTCACTAAATTGTACATGTAGAAACTGTTGAATTGGTGTATGTTTTGCTGTGTATATTCTCAACAGCAACAAAATAAATAAACAAAAATTAGAAAGAAAAACATAAAAAATACCTTCTAGAACTAGTAAGTGAGTTCAGCAGGGTAACAGGATACGAGATAAACATACAAAAATCGCTTATACTTCTGTATACTAGCAATGAACATATGGACACCAAAATTTAAAATATAATACCATTTAAAACTTCTCAAAAAACTAAATAGTTAGGTGTAACTCTAACAAAACATGTACAGGGCTTGTGTGATGAAAACTATACAATGCCGATGAAAGAAATCAAATAGCATCTAAATAAATGGAGAGACACAACATGTTCATGGATTGGAAGACTCAACATAAAATAGCTTTCAGTTCTCCCTAAATTAATACACAGATTTAATGCAATTCCTATCAAAGCCTCAGCAAGAATTTTTATAGTTCTAGACAAGATTGGTGGCACAGTGGTTAAGCATTCAGCTGCTAACCAAAACATCAACAGTCCAAATCCACCTGCAGCAGCTTGGAAACCCTATGCGGCAGTTCTACCCTGTCCTATAGATAGAGTCGCTATGAGTTGGAGTCGACTCGATAGCAACAGGTTTTAGGCAAGATTATTCTTAAATTTACAGGGAAAGGCAAAGGATCTAGAATAGCTAAAGCAATTTTGAAAAAAAAAAAAGAATGAAGTGGTAGAAATCAGTCTATCTAACTTCAAGACTTATTATACAATTACTGTAATCAAGACTACATGGTATTTGTGAAGGGATAGGCACATAGATCAATGGAACAGAACTGAAAAACCAGAAATAAACGCACACAAATATGCCAACTGATTTTTGACAAAAGTGCAAAAGCAATTCAATGGAGGAAAGATAGAATTTTCAACAAATGGTGTTGAAGCAATTGGATATCCATTGGCAAAAAAATTAAACCTCAATCTAAGTCTCACATCTTAAGTAAAATTTAACTCAAAATGAACCATGAGCTTGAATATAAAATACAAAACTTTTAGGAAAAAATAAGAGAAAATTTTGAGATCTAGAGCTAGGCAGAGTTCATAGACTTCACACCAAAACACAATCCATGGCAAATAAGTACATGAAAAAATATATTCAACATCATTAGCCATTAGTGAAATGCAAACCAAAACCACAATGAGATACCACTACACACTTGTCAGAATGGCAAAAATAAAAATAGTGACAGTACCACATTCTGGCAAGGATGCAGACAAACTAAATCACTCATACAATGTTGGTAGGGATGTAAAATGGTACAGCCACCCTGGTAAACAATTTGTTACTTTCTTTAAACATTAAATATGCAACTACTATGTGACCCAGCAATTGCATGCTTAGGCATTTATCTCAGAGAGATTAAGACTAACATTTACACAAAAACTTGTGCATGAATGTTTATAACAGCTTTATTTGTAATAGCCCCAAAATAAAAATGGTCCAGATGTCCATCAACGCGTGAAGATTAAACAAGCTGTGGTACCTCATATCATGAGCTACTACTCAGCAATAAAAAGGAATCGCCTGTTGATACACATAACAACCTGGATGGATCTCCAGAGAGAGAATTACGCTGATTTAAAGGTCAGTTCTAGGGGGACCTCATACCGTCAAGAAAGCAGTGCTGGGAGCAGAGTGCGTCCTTTGGACTGGGGTTCCTGCGCAAAAAAGCTCCTAGTCCAGGAGAACACCGAAGAGAAGAAGGCCGACAGACAGAAAAAGGCTTCCCTGGAGCTGACGCCCTGAATTTGGACTTTTAGCCTACTGTGACTGTGAGGAAATAAACTTCTCTTCATTAAAACCATCCACTTGTGGTACTTCTGTTAGAGCAGCACTAGATGACTAAGACATGGGGGTTAAATACCCTACCAGAAAATATGTAATTAAATGATAAGTTGATGTTATAGACCAACTTTTCCTGAAACTTAGACTTTCTTTAAAGAAAAGTGTTATCTCAGACTCCCAGGGTTGACTTGAGTTATTTTTACTGTAATGCTCTTTAAGTATGTACAAACATAAAAGCATATTATAAACTCCTTATTGCTGTTAAGTAACTATAAAACAAAAGAATATGAACAAATTAAATACAAGGTACACCCGGACAGAGCTGGAGAAAAATGTAGAACAAAATTCAAGCTCACAAAAAGAAAAGAAAAAAAAAAAAACCAGACTTACTGGTCTGACAGAGACTGGAGAAACCCTGAGAGTTTAGCCCCCAGACACACTTTTAACTCAGTACTGAAGTCACTTCTGAGGTTCACCCTTCAGCCAAAGATTAGACAGGCCCATAAAACAAAACTAAAGACTAAACTAAAGACTAAAGGGGCACACCAGCCCCGGGGCAAGGATGAGAAGCCAGGAGGAGACAGGAAAACTGGTAATGGGGAACCCAAGGTTGAGAAGGGGAGAGTGTTAACATGTCGGGGGGATGGCAACCAATGTCACAAAACAACATGTGTACTAATTGTTTAATGAGAAACTAGTTTGCTCTGTAAACCTTCCTCTAAAGTACAATAAAAAAAATTAAATGAATAATTACAAGGTACAAAATCAATAAAATTCAAGTGAACAGCAAAAAAAATAAAATAAAATAAAAAAATAAAAAGTCAGTTCTAAAAGGTTACATACTGTATGATCCCATTTATATAACATTCTTGAAATGAAAAAAATTATAGAAATGGAGAACAGATTAGTGGTTGCGAGGGATTAAGGAGGGGCTGGGAACTGGAATAAGTGGAGGTAGCTGTAAAAGGGTAACATGAGGGATCTTTATGGTCATGGAAAGGTTCTATGTCTTGACTGTATCGATGTCAATATCCCAGTTGTGATAGCATACTATAGTTTTGCAAGATGCTACCACTGGAGAAAAAAGGTAAATTGTACTATCTGTATTATTTCTTACAATTGCATGTTAATCTACAATTGTTTTTTCGAAAGTTTGATTTTAAAAACGTAAGATTAGTATCTCATGATCTCTCCAGTAGCTTCTCCACTCTATTTCAAGCCTCCATTCAGCCAGATGGCCGGGATTAGATCTCAGTCAGTTGAGGGTCTCCCTGCCTCCTCATATCTACGTTTCAGGGAGCTTAGCATGGTGCCAGTCTTGTGCTTGGTGTCATCATCAACACTGGTGTCAGCCCAGAGTAGTTTTCAGCCATCTGCCCACTGAGAACACTGCTGCATTCTCCTCACCTTTGAAGCTGAAGTCTCTCTGTGCTCTCCTCCCTCCCCAACAGCACTTCCTATTGTGTGTCACTCTTGGCCACACAGAAGACACTCTGCTACTCCTTCCTCTCAATGGGCTGCAGGAAACCTGGAGAGGCCATCTTAGGCCTACTTGCCAGATACACTAAATGGGCATTTCTATGCCACAAGCACTGGGTGGGGGGACTTGAGGACTATGCTAGGATATGGGTGACATAGGCCTCCTTTATTCTAAGATCCCTCAGCCTATCTGTGGTCCTCTTGTGTCCCCACCCTACTCCAGGTTGATCTGACAGCAGGGGCAAGGCTCAGAGCCACTTCTCAGTTACCTTTGCTTCCTTTCTGATTTTCCCTTCTCCAAATTCAAATGTCACCTATGCAAAGGGCAGCAGAGGGTGTGACACTGAATATATTGTTTCAGCTCTTTTATCTTGGGCCTGGTCCTCAGATTTGATCTCCTTGGTTCCCAGCATTCTGCTGAGTCATCCTTCAACTGAGATAATAAGCATAAAATTCCTTAGTTGCTGCTTGAATTGGCCAAAGTAACAGGAAGTATGGAGGAGAAACCTCCTGTCAATACATCAAAATATTATTCTGTGATATCTTCTATAATCTTTCTCTCTTCGGCCCAACTACCTTCCTATTTGTCTTTTCCTTCAGCTTGTGGCCCAGGTCCTAGAGCATAAAGATATAGGCTTTGTGACGGTGGATGCCAAGAAAGAAGCCAAGCTTGCCAAGAAACTAGGTAAGTGTGACTTTGGGGATATATCAGGAAAAAAAGTGTCTCTTGCAAAAAAGCACAGTTGCATTTATTCTCGAATGATAGCTGGCCTATTTTTAAGATAAATATAAAATGATCACGCATACCTTAGTTTTGGTTGGAAAGAGTTTCATAAAAATAAATCTAGGCCTGAACTGAATAGTTTTGTACTGATCATCTGATATATTTTTGTTTCTGTACAATGAACAGTACCTACCTAGAGAAAATAACACTAAAGGAACTAGGGTACCAAGAAGACTGTGGTCCTACTCTCAGAGAGCTTCCTGTTATAGTTTTTGTTGTTAGCTACCATCACACCATCCTCGACTCATGGCAACCCCATGCACAACAGGATCAGATCTATAGGGTTTTCTTTGGCTGGTAAATCACCACACATTTCTTCCTAATCCATC